CACAGAGTAATGTTAATTCTCATTGGGGCAACAAAGTCATGGTTCGGCTGTCTATTTTATTTTGTCTAATCATATTTTGCACACACCACCTCTTCCATGACTTGTTATAGCGGCAATTATTCACCATTTATGGGTGTGTTGTGCCACACATCATTCCGTTGAAGTTATATAATTATTGTTTAATTTTATTCATATTTTATTAATTTATAAAAGTTTTAAATAATTAATTATAATATATAAAAATATTAATTTAAAAATTAATCTCAATTTATTACAATAAATAATAAATAATAATTATTTTATTAATTATTAATTATTTTTAATAATAAAATAAAATAAAATAAATGTTTTAAAAATTATTATTGTGTGTGACTTTAATATTATAGTATATAACCATAACCACACCCCATTTAGGTTTGTTGATTTTTGATTTTAAGTGACGTTCTCTCTCCTATTTTTTCTTTGTTGTTAGATTATTTCACTATTTACCAGTCTGGCTTAGCTTTTGATCAATTTTATTCAATAATTATTTTTAGATTAAACTTCAATTACCAACACTTTTCCCTTTGAGCTCATCAGATTTTGTTTCACATTTTAAGTAAAACTTTCAATTTTTAGATTAAATCAATTTAGGAGTGTTTGTTACAAAGATTTGAGGTTAACCCAATTTGATGTGTAAACTATTCAAACAACTAAAAATAGGGGTTAGTGTTTTTCCGCATTGCTTTTAAAATATTTAGAGGAAAAATGACAAAAAAACATTTTAATGCATGCTTTAAAAAGAAGAGATTTTAGTCTTTTTCAATAAGTATTTATTAAAATAATATTTCTCTTAATCTTTAAAAGATAAGATTGATAAAAACTATTTTCATGAAAATATATGAAATATAAACTATAAATTATGAGATATGAATTATTTTTATTTATTTTATTTAAACAGTTGATTTAAACATTATATAATGTTATGTTTCCAACCAAATTTTTTAAAAATGAATATAATATTGTTCTTGTTAAAAGAATACCAATTAATTAAAACATATAAAAGCCTTTCTATACTAATATATTTTTTATGATATATGTTGATATTATTATTTTTTAATTTAAGTTACATAATAATAAAAAATTGTCACTCTTTCATTCTTTAACTACTCTATTTACATTTTTTTTTTGACCAAATTTACAAGGGTGGGTATCGAACCCACCATAAAAGAGGGGGGAAATGCACTGCAAAGCAACCCTAAGGCCGCTTGGCCGAAAGGCCAAGTGCAACTACCCTATTTACATTTATTTGACTCAAACATAGAACTTTTTATTAATATTAATTAAACTTGAAGACATGGTTTCTTATCCTCTACCATGGATTAAAAAAAATAGAAAATCCAATTTAAAAATGTAGATAGAATTTCGAATTATTGAAGAATTATTGAGATTTTATTTTATTACGTTACACTTACACCCCCCTTTTTTGTTTTTTTCTTTTTCCTTTGTCCAGTTGGGTAGATCGCGCCACAGCAAACACAGAAGTGACGGCCGATGTCGTGACACGTGGCATAATGACAAGGCATAATGCATCCAATAGGACCAATACCCCACACAGGGTGGGTCCAGCCTGCTCTCTCACGTGTAAATGATTAAATCCCGGGATTCGCTGCTGTGTAGCCACCGATCTGCGCACCCACCTCCATCTCTCCTCGTCTCCTCCTCCTCCTCCTTCCTCCCAACTCCGAACTCCGAAGTCCCCTCCATACTTTCAACTTTCAAATGTCCCAACGCCGCTCAGATTCCGCCGCAAAAATCTCCGCCATTTCCATTCCTCCACAAAAATTAATTAATTAATTTAATTGCTTAATTTTCCACTTTAAATCCAAGTTTATTTTAATCGCTTCAACACTCCGCTACCTCCCTAAAACCTTTCAAAAACATTACCATTATTTTCGGCGGAGGTTTATCTGCTAGGGTTTTTCTGTTTCTCTCCTCTGTCAATGGCGTTTTCTTGATTAATGGCGGCCAGTTCCAGGGGATTCACGACTCCGCTCGAGTTCAAGCTCCGGAGGCTCGAGTCCTTCCGTGGATTTGAGCTGAAGAAGAGGAGGAGACTGTGCTTCAACTGTGATCAAGTGACAGTGGTGAGTCGGATTAGCTGCTGCTGCTGTTCTGACCGGGCGTTTCCGATCCGGAGGTCTACAAGGTGCGGAAAGAGTACTCAGAAGGAAGAGGAATGGCGGCGGTTCGATCAGAAGAAGAGCCATCGCAGACTCCGTGTCCATGCTTCTTCTTCTACTATGCCTTTCGCTTCTCCTGAGTAAGTCACTGTATTCTGTCTTTTCTTCTCTTCTCTTCTCTTCTTTTTCTCTGCATTTTGCTCAAGATTCTGCATCTTTTTATAATTCTCACAGACCAGGATATGCTTCTAAACAAGAAAAATTCTCCCCACGGTGTACTCCGAAAAATTCTCCCGACGGCCCACAATCCCGTGACACCCCGCCAAAGAGAGGTAATCCTAGTATCTTGCTTTAAAATGCATTGTGTGTTTAAATCCATGTCTTATAAAGTGGTTTATTGCTTACTTCACTTTAGACACTGGTATTGCAAATGAGGAAGATTGGGGCATCAGCTTGTTAAATGGAAATGTAAACGAGTCTGGCACTAATGAAGATGGAAGTACTTGGTATCGAGAAAGTGGGGAGGATCTTGATGAAAATGGATACAGATGTAGATGGACGAGGATGGGTGGTAGATCTAAGGATGGTTCCTCTGAATGGAAAGAAACGGTATTTAACTCTCCTGTCATGTTATGTTTGCATGAATCAGTCTTGTTGATCTGGGAGTGCAATTTGAGATTAATTTTCTGGAACACACCGACTTTGTGATGAACTATTGTGTCTTTAATCAACTTGGTTAGTAAATTAACCAGTATTGCCATAAACATTATGGAGGAGTTCATCTTAAAGCTTTTAATTGAGTCTTTGAAGAAAACTTTTATTCTTGGGCAAGGTTTCTGAGGTGATATTACCTGTTGAAATGTCTAATGTGCTTCACATCCCATGTATTGAAAAAGAAAACAGTTGACTAGCCAGCCTTATTTTGTGTCATATATCTCAGCTTTTTAAGTGATAAGCATGGAATGGCAGTGCATATATGTGTAATACAAAATCTGACATTTAACATCTACATTCAATTTGGGGTTTTCATAGAACACATTATTTGACAGACATATAGGTTGTTGCTATTATGTAAAATAAAAGATAAAAACTTGTTGAGTAAATTTAGACTCTTTGCAAGTTAATGAAATGAGAGCTTTTGCGTGGGGAAGTTATCTGTAAATGGGTTAGATTGTAGGCATGAATTACTTCAGGAGAGCACCATTAGAGAAATCAAAGTATCCAAACTGAATTTTTTGTTGTTTATTGCAAGTATTAGTTGAATGGGAAGGATTGGGCTAAATGCTTTAAAGTTATTGCAATGATATTTGAAAAATGCCAGTAAACTACCATGTTTTTCTAGGTACGTTACATTGACATTGTTTTTATAACCCCATTAAGTATCATCCCAGGTGGATTCATTTAATTGGATTTATTAATCTCCTTGACAGTGGTGGGAGAAAAGTGACTGGACTGGATACAAAGAGCTTGGTACAACTCTTATCTTTCATTTCACTTGGAAAATTGTTTATTTATTCTAAGAATTAATTTGGAAATTTGCCCCGATTTCCTCAAACTCTTAATAGAGTTGTTATTTGATAGGTGTGGAGAAATCAGGAAGGAATGCTGAAGGAGATTCTTGGTGGGAAACATGGCAGGAGGTGCTTCATCAAGATGAATGGAGGTATTTCTTTTAACTTTCTTTTACCTTTGTTGGGAGAGTTAATTTTAAGTTTGCAATTTGTCCTATGCCCACCAACAAAATATTTAGTTCATTGGTGATGCTATATTGCTCTTCATATATTACTGGTTTACTCTCTGGAACTGCAGTAATTTAGCAAGGATAGAAAGGAGCGCTCAGAAGCAAGCAAAATCAGGTACTGAAAATGCTGGATGGTTTGAGAAATGGTGAGTTAACATTACAATGGATGATGTTTGTGAATATAATTTTTATGTTTTATCTGCATTTTGCACTCTTTGAGTCATGACAATGCATCTCTATTTAGGTGGGAGAAATATGATGCCAAAGGCTGGACAGAAAAAGGAGCACATAAGTATGGTAGGCTGAATGAACAATCATGGTGGGAGAAGTGGGGAGAACATTATGATGGAGGATCTGTTATAAAATGGTTATTTCTAATCACCCTTTTGCCGTGTTATGCTTGGGTTTGCATTCTATGTGTTTTACCTCTTTTGATACTGGGAATTATCTGAGTTCTGTTTGAGTCTGCAGTTTTTGTGTGGAGTTATTGTAACAATGCAGATTAAAGTATTATATGGCTGGAAGACATTATTTTGTCTATTAGTATAGAGATTTTCAATACTATAGGCCTCTGTTTTCTATGGTCACATGCTATTAAATTTGGCACAACAATGCCATTAAATTTTGTTCTTTTTACTCCTCAGGACGGATAAATGGGCAGAGACTGAATTGGGAACCAAATGGGGAGACAAGTGGGAGGAGAAGTTCTTTGCTGGCATTGGTTCGCGTCAAGGAGAGACATGGCATGTATCTTCTGGTGGTGAACGTATGTTTTCGCTCATTCCATGTTGTCACCTTGTAATGTAGAATTTTCTATGAAGTTATTTGCTTTTAGACATTTAGTTTTCATTTAGTTCATGCATAGGTTTGATATGTCAGATTAGGCTTTCTTCTTATTAAATAAGATCTATGACCATTTTTATTTACTTTTTAATTTTTTAAATTAAAGAACATGTAGCTGTATTCTTATTAGGGCAAAGGTTGATCCAGTTCTGTGGTATTTTTCAAAATTGGCATGTAACATGAATTGCCATGCCAACATTGGATGGACCACACTCACATAAGTAGGGAGAACTGATTGTTTAATTCATCTATTTGTGTTGGGTGCACTTCCTCAAAATAACATGATAATGAAAATGCCATAGACGATGAATTAGTGGAGAATAACCTGAGTGAATAAATGCCCTTCTTTTTCTTTAAATTCCAAGGTTCAAAGGCAGTACTACTAAATTTTAGACATTCATGTTTGCTTCTACCGACCTTAATATTTGTTTAAATGCAATGTTGTTTGTCTCATAGGGTGGTCAAGGACATGGGGAGAGGAACATTTTGGAAATGGGTAAGGAACATTTTATTTTACGTCATTTGTCTTGACTACAATTTCAATATTTCGTTTTGCCCTTTCGCTACATTATTGTCTTCTGATTAATAATTGGATGTAGTAAATTATTCATTTGCTTGCTACATGGAGACTAATGTTGCACATTGTCTCTTTACCAGTAAAGTTCACAAATATGGGAAGAGCACGACAGGTGAAAGCTGGGATATTGTTGTTGACGAGGAAACCTATTATGAGTAAGAATATGCTTGTATTTTTGTCATATACTTATCTTGTATTGATATCACTATATTTGCGTAATTTATGAACTTTAAGAACATGGTGGTATGTCCAAGAATCATGGAGGTCAGATGTTCTATTTATGGACGATAAAGCAACATGTATTTTTGTTTTTTTCTCTTTTTGGCCACGATAAAGCAACATGTTGTGAAAGTTTTTGCTTATGATGCCAGGGCCGAACCTCATTATGGATGGGCAGATGTTGTTGGGGATTCCAGCCAGTTGCTATCAATCAAGCCAAGGGAGAGGCCTCCTGGAGTCTATCCTGATATTGATTTCGGGTCATCACCAGATAAACCCACCTGATCTGCCTCGCACTTCACTATGAAGAGCAGCCTTTTAGCGCCATATTTAATCAATGATTTGTCACATTGTTTAAAACTTTTTGAACTGAAAATTGTGAATTACTGCTTTGCAATTTTATTCATTTTTTCATGGGTCATTGTATGCTAGGGAATGGTAATAAATTCATTTATTCCCTTGTCTTGATAATTTGCCCAGTGAGTTTAGTCCAATTTTATTTTATATTTTCTGGTAAATTAGAACAATTTTATGTTATCTGATCTCTTTACGTAGTGGGGTAAAAAAATCATAAGTTGGAAACTATTTGGGTAGTCTCACGAGCTCTAATACTATTGAAGTCCTGTACGGTTTTGATGCTTGAAAATCTGGAGGAAATGTCATTTAGAAACATACTCTCATATTTAAATTAATAACAATAATTTATTTTAGAGAGAGAAGTTATCAAGAATTAAATATTGTAGAGAGAATGTAGTGGAATTAGTATTTTTGGAGTTATTATCGTTAATGAAAATAAAAAAGAAGTATTTATAACTATTATTCATGACATCTATGTCACGTGTCATTGTTTGATTGGGTTATGTACTGTTAGTTATATTGCTGAGTTTTCATTGCTCATCTCTACTTCTAGGCTCTTATTGGGCCAAAAGCCCTAGACCTTTAGTCAATGTTAGGCCTCAACATTACTCACCCTTGGTGTTTAGTTAACAAAACACTATAGTTGTTGACATGGCCCAATATTGGCCTTAACAAGCTAATTTATGACAGGCTAGTGGTAGCAGGCAAGAAACTTGAGCTGAACTCCCTCTACCACCCTCCTAGAAGATATTTTCTCTTTACAAGCTCGGGTAGTCTTATGAGCTCTAGCACTGTTAAAGACTTGTATTGTTCCAATACTTCAAAACTCTGAGAAAGTGTTCTTAGAGAAAACACTCCGATATTTAAATTAATAACAATAATTTATTTTAAAAAAAGAAACTCTCAAGAATTGAACATTACAAAAACAAAAGTGTAATGAAGTTATTTCCTTCAATGGTCACGTGTTATTGTTTGATTGGCTCATGTACTATTGGTCACGTGAGTGAGTTTCCACTACTCACTTTTACCTTTAGGCTTTTATTGAGCCTTTGACCCAAAACTTTTAGTCAATGTTAGGCCAACTCCCCAATAGAAACCACGCAACAAAATTTCTAGGTAAAATGCAAAATGAATACTATAGTAAAATAAATGAAGAATTGATTAGAAGAAGAAGAAAAATTAAAGAGACAAGTGAGTCAATGTAAAAATATATTTTATTTATATTTTTTTCTCTCCATATATTTGTAAGGGTATAAGCTCTATATATAAAAGCTAATAGGTGATAGAAGTTATAAAGAATAAACACTCATTAAATAAGAAGTTATAATAATTAATCTTTTACTAATAAAAGAGTTACTATGAATCACCATTGTAATTACATAGAAGTATGAAAAGTTATACCATTATTTGGTGTAAATGTCATGGAAAGTGGCAAAATGAAAGATGAAAAAGTTGAAACATCCACAATGAAATAATTTATAACAAATACAACAATTATTACTACTTTTTATGGCTTAAAAAATGGCTATGATTATGGCAACATAAACGATTGTTAAAGCTACAAAACAACAATATAATTGTATTTATTTGATTATTAAAAATAATTAATAGTTATAATTATTAACTGTGGAACAACCATAACATTTGACTTTTAATAGTTTATATTCAATGTATAAATTAATATTTTTAAATACTTTAATTAATTATAAATTAATAAAATCAGATATATCAAACACAATTATAAGATTTTGTGTGTACTTAACAATGATATGTGTGCTGACAACCATGGCTTCTAAAAATGCAACCATATCTGCTGTTTTATGAGAGTTTACACAACAATAAAAACAAGTTCGTTCTGAAATTTCCGAGTTGTACACCCATAAACTACATTATTCACTTTGACAAACTAGTCCCGCATTCCACCAAGTAGAATTGTGAGAGTATTATGATTTAATATTGTGACTAAATCCCTCAAAATTTTAATCGCAAAAGTTTTGATAAAGCATAAAGCTCAAAGACCCCCTTGGACTTCATTTGAGAGTACTTTTTGGTATTTTAACTTTTGGCCTTTTTATCTTTCTTTTTCCATTTTACCATACTAAAAATATACATAATATTAATTAAAAAATATTATATATGTTAAATATATTTTATATATTTTTGTGATTTTAAAAAAACTAAAAAACCTACAGATACTGTTACAACCTAACATCCTCAAACAAAGCCTTGAGCAATCCAATAATAAGTTAGAATACCGCGGCCTATTCAACAATTCTCTCAGAAAACCTTGGTTTCAACATCATAGTACCGTTTATGTTTATACTTCTACTTCCTGGTTCCATTCAGACATATATAACTGGAAGTAGTTCAATCTTAAACCCAATGCCCATGACACAACTTCTGTGCCCGAGCTTTGAACTGAAAAACCAGCTGTCAAGAACTAAATGTTGCAATGTTTCGTTGGGAAAATATGCTTCCTTTTGCGACCATTCAATGGTTTCTATATACAGCTTGACATTGGGCAGCATTCTCAAAGGAGCATTTTTTGCATTTCTGAAGGAGACGATAGAGGGCAAGGCATGCAACAAAGAACCAATCAAATGCAGCCAACAACACCAAGAAGTATCAGGGGATTGTATTTAGTCTGAAAGTATCTCTTCCAACTCAGGTTCATCAGAAGTGACCATCTCATTACCTAAAACTGTTTCATTATACAGGCCTTTCTCTTGAGGGCCAAATCGATACTCATCATCATCTGGATCAGTCCATTCTGGATCATCAGTGTCATAATCATTAACATCATTGTTATCATCAACATCATCATCATTTTGTTCATCACTTAT